CACTCTCCTGCTGCCTTGTCTTCTGGTCTCTTCAGTTGTTGCCCTCTTTGCACACAGAGCCACCCACCTGTCTGCACACGCGCCTGCACTGTGCCCAGCTGGGACTCAGCCTCCCTAAAGCCACTCTGAGATCCATGTAATTGATAACCAGGGCCTTCTCTATTAGGAGATCTTTTATTCAGTGAACTGCAACATAGGGTGATGCTCATAGGGAACAGACTGCTGAGAATCTCATACCAAATGAAGCTAAATCTTCCTATTTATGACATGGGGACATCAATAAATAACTCCAGCAGGCAAATTTGGCCAATGGCAAATGGCTTCAGCCTGTGGGGTACGAGCTGAAATCCAACTGAAATCTGTAATGAAGTAATAAAAGTCATAGTGGTCCCATCGAGTCTCCTATAACTTTTATAAGTTTGGGAACATCAGTCTGTTCCCTGGAGAGGACCTGGCTTCCCTGCAATGGGCTGAGGCAGGTGGAGGTGGGGAAGAACCAAAACGTGAGATGGCTCCTTTGGCCCTTATGCAGCTGCTCACTTATGGAGCAGGGACAGGAGCCACGGCACCACTGTCCTCCCAGTATCACCTTAGGGATGGCTGAAGTGATGGGACCAGTTCACAGCATCACTTCATTTGTGGGAAAAGAGGAAAGTTAAATGTTGTCATAGTGTCTTCAAAACCCTTCAAATCCCTCTAACCCAAGTGCCTTCACAGAACAGGGTTTTCTACCTTCCCTTACAGAAAGATTTTGTTACTATTTGGTCAATGAAGAAAACATAGCAGCTGTTAGCATCACTTTCCTCTTGAAGCACACTGTCCTCAGGTAAAACAAAACACAATTAAGATACTAGCAAGGTCAGTTATATGAGACAATCCATATCCTCATAATGCAGATATTTCCTTCAATGTCTGTCACCAGCATCAAATCCCCAACTGCAGCAGGATAATTGGCAGCCCTGTTCTAGGGGGAAGATGAAATGGTTTGTGTTGCCACCAAAACCAGCCTGGATTTTGTTTAAGTGCTGGAGCCTGGGGGTGGTATCGCTCATCTAGCTGTACTGCTGGAGAGTCATGTATCAAGGACAGGCTTCTGAGGCAGCTTCTGTCTCCCTCCTATTTACTGCTCCATTAATTACAAACCAGATGTCAGGGCAAGATTTAAAAGTCAACTTTATTTGAAATCCTGCAATATAAAAAAAACTCAACCACAACAATTTTTTTTTTTTGTGGTGGGGAGGGGAAACATGAAGGAGAGAAGGGTTCTTTAATCCTTTGCTTATAGTTATTCTCTATTTTATTTTTAACTCTTATTTTTTTAAGTTGTGGTTATTTTTTTCTTTTACTGAGTGGCAAAAGGAATTTCTCTTTTTCTTTCTGTCCCCTCAGCCCCCAGAAGAGTTTTTAGGGTTTTCTCTGGGAACCAGACCTCACTTAAGACCTTCTCTCTGCCAGCTGGCATTTTTGTCATACATTCCTCTTGCTGTTTATGCCCCAAGACTGTTCAGAAATATAAATGCAGCTGCCCACTTGCTTGACAATGTTTTATTTGTGGACCATGGAGGTGTAGACCTCTTCTTCAGTGTCTGCACAGGTTTCCAGGTGTCCTGGAGCTGCTGGAGACATGGCTGGGGCTGAAAGCAGTGGTATCCCTACTGCACAGCCAGAGATGACAGTCTCCAGACAGCTGGGATGTACAAGGAGCTGGATGACAAGCTTCTAGTGCCAAACTCTAGGGCACCCTGGGCAATCAGATGGAGCAACCTTCAGAGTCACATAACCATGGAATTGATTAGGTTGAAAAAGACCTTGAAGAGCTCAACCATTAACCCAGCACTGACAAACCCACCACTAAAGCATGTCCCTAAAAGAAGGCAGAAACAAGGAAAAGTATCTAGAGGATTGTTCTCATTTTGGAAAGTGCCAAAGATGTTGGCCCAGCCATCACTGAATCTGATTGCTGAATCTTGGCAAGGCTTGAGTGGGTCCCTCAGGCTTATGTTAGCAGCACAGTTATGAACAAGGCTAAAAGTCCCCCCATATAAAATGAGAAACTTTGGCAAAAAGGGAGGCAGAGTAGTGCTGTACTACTCTTGTTTCCATTCCCTAGCACAGCAGCATTCAGCCTCAACCAGGGAGGAGGGAATGGACTGAGAAAGCAAAGGATGCAACACAAGGAACTGGTTCCTCTTTTTTTCACCCTGCCAGTTCCCCACGAGCTACTGCATTTTCCCAGTAGAAGTCTGATTTCCTATTTACTGTGGGATTAACCCTTTGGTTAATCTCAGATCATATAAGGATGACTCTGGTGTAAGCAGCCGACGTGTGTAATCAAGGCCAACCTGATTTTAGCAGACTGTAGGGAACACAGAGTAAGGACAGGAGCAATAACATCATTCAGCTCCTTGCTTAGAAAAGCTTTGACCTTAAATAAAGTTTCCCTGTAGTAGCGTGTTCAGGAGGCTGTAGTGCTGCACTCTCAGCTAGGTGATGGGACTAATGAAATGTAATAAGACAGTGAAAAAAAAACCAAGCAAATTTACAGAGGATTTAGAGGTGTGTCCACAACATTGTTAACTACTATTATAAATTCTCTGAATTTTCTAACTGTAAAAGTTTTAGAAGGAGTAAAGGAGGATGGCAAGAAGATAAACCCATGTAACAGTTTGGAAAGCTTAAAAGCTGTGAGAGTTGGGTGCAATGCCAGTCACTACAGTTACATTCTTTTGTAAATGTGGGAGGGGAAGTAATCTGTAATCACAGAATAATTGTGACCCTTCCAAGTGGGAGCCAGGGCACTGGAGTTTGTACGGGGGCAGAGACAGCCTAGGGAAACCAGCATATTTATTGAGAGAAATAAGTCACAAGGTGGCTGAACCAGCTTGAGTCCCCAAGCAATTTTGCCGGTGCATTTGTCAGATATCTGCGGGCATTGACACCTGCTGCAGCAAGAGCAAGGTGGAGTGATGGGTTCTACAGTTTTGGTTCCCACCTTAAAACGGATCATAAACTGGAGGCAAGTTTAGAAAGCTACAGGAGGGCTGTGCTGGAGGGCACTGAGAGCAAGGGGGAGGCACAGACAGGCACCAGGTCACAGGGAAGAGCTGAGAAGCGCCGCAGGAGGGACATCAGCCGGGGAGATGGAGCAGCTATTCCACACCTGTGACTGCAGGTTACTCCCCAGGCCTCCCCACGATGTCTGGGCCATGTCAGATGATGACACTGGGGGCCCAGAGAAATTTCCTGATGCAACTCCAATCTGCAGCTTTTACTGGAAAAATGTTTGGAGTTTCAGTAATCACTCAGTACATGTGCTTTCCAACTGGTACTCTACCTCCAGCTACTCCTGTGCTGGAAGAGGCATTGTTGGATTCCTCCCCTCTTAGGACTGGGAACTGAACTGGACATTCCAGAACTGGACATTCCTACCACAGACTATTTTTGCAATGTGACAAAAGCAAATGAAACATTAATTGGAATATTGTTTACAAGGGGAAACTGAAAGAACTATTTACATATTGCTTGGAGGAACAGTGGATCTGTAACCAGAGATTCAGTTCTTCAGTGAGAAATGTAGCTGGGAAGTCCAGCTACAAGGGTAAAAAAATTTTGGGTAAAAATCAAGCAGCCAGTCAGTGGAGTGACCTAACTGCATGAAAGCATGGCTCATTGGTCCCAGTTACAGTGATTTGTACTAACAAAGGGTGATCTCTAGCCCGTGGGGTATATAATCTAATCTGAGATTCAGTGCAACCATGAAAATGGAGGAAAATGGGAGAGGAGAGTAATGTAAAACATGATTAAGACTTGCTAAGCAAATATAATTGAAGCACTTACACAGAGAAGTGGTTTGAGAGAGTGTTTTGAGCAGGTGGGAGGAATTCTCGTCTTGCGTGAAGGCTTCACATCGTTCTTCCACTTCTGGAAAGCCCCTCGAACCAGAGGTGCTATTTCTCCCTTTCTCCTGGTGCTCCCTGCTTCCTCCGGCTAGGCGATGCTTCCAGCAGAGTGAGTCCTACCCTGCTAAGGGCTGTCTGTCCCCGGTCGGGGAGGGAGCCGCGGTCATTTCCAGTGGCACGCCATCTCGTGTATCGGGCGGGCAGGTCTGGTCCTGCTGTCCCAGCACCGTCCTGCCGCCAAAGCCAGGCTCGGGGGCACGGCCGGTGCTGGCACGGCGCGGTGGGGCCGCCGGGGCTGCTGACACCCCGCTGCCAGTGCGCTTGATGCCCCCAAAAAGGCGACTAGTGCTTTAGCAAACACGACTCCAGCCTTGCTCCAGCTGCCGCCAGGCTCACGGCACCCGCGAAGGGCCGGGAGCTGCATCGGGGCGGGATGGGGGCAGGTTCGGGCGCTTTTGCAGTTTGCTGTACCACACCTCAGCCCTGCCTCCCCTGGGCTCGGGAGGCTGCCCGGTGGGGCTGCCAAGGGACCAGTCATGGCCACTCCGCAGAGCCGTGATTTAGCATTTTACGCTAAATCGGCGGTGGCAGCCCTGCTCTTGCACTGGGAGCTCACCGCAACACCGGAGCTCTCGGGCTACTTCTGGGAAAACTCCTGACGTGGCTGTGCAGAAGAACGGGGCCGGTTCCCCGCTCTGGCTCGCTTCAGCGGAAGGATGTGCGGGGCGGTCCGTGCGGCCCGGGCAGCGGACGGAGGCACCGGTGCTCACCCACGACAGACGCTCCTGCTCCAGCCCCGTCCGGCCTCTCGGCCGAGGCGGCAGCGCCGTGACCCAGCTCGGGGTCTCTCCCCTCTCGGAGCCACTCCCGGCCCCACGCCTCTCTCAGTCTCGCAGGGCACCGGGCTTTGCTCCCCGGGCTCCGCGCCCGCCCCGCAGCCCGAGCCCCGGCCCGCTCCGGCCCCCGCCGCCAGCGCCGGCCCCAACTCCTCATTGGCCGCCGCCGCCGGAGGGAGGATGACGCCGGGCGGGAGCGGGGCCGGGGGTATAAAGGCCGGGCGGACCGGCCGTGCCGCGCTCCCGCTGCCCCGCACGCCCCGCCATGCCGCGCGGCTTCCTCGTCAAGCGCAGCCGGAGACCCGGCGGCTCCTACCGGGCACGCCCGCGGGAGCGGGACCCTGACCGGGACCCTCCGCCCACCCCGCCGCCGCCCCCGCCGCCCGCCGGCGGGGACAGCCCCGCCGCTAGACAGGGAGCGGAGGAGGAGAAGGGCGAGGAGGAGGAGGGAGCCGTCGCCGCTTGTCCCGCGACGTGGCCGCCCGGCGGCGGCTGTGGCGGCCCCGGGCTCACCCCGCCGGAGGCTCCGGCCGCCTGGGGGGCGACGGGGCCGTGCAGCGCGGCGGGGCCGCGGGCGGCTCTCTTCGAGCGGTGCCTCAGCTCCCCCGCCTCCGCCGAGTCCTTCCCCCTGGCCGCGTCCTTCCCGCCCGCCGAGAAGCTGCTGCTGCAGCCGCGCACGCCGCTGCCCGCCCCGCCGCTGCCGTCGGTGCCCGCGCTGAAGCGGCCGTCTCGGGCCAAGGCGCCGGCCAAGAAGGGCAAGGCCACGCGGAAGCTGAGCTTCGCCGACGAGGTGACCACTTCGCCCGTGCTGGGGCTGCGCATCAAAGAGGAGGGGCCCGAGGGCCGGCCGGGGCCGCCGGCGGGGCGCACGCCGCTGGGCGAGTTCATCTGCCAGCTGTGCAAAGAGCAGTACGCGGACCCGCTGGCGCTGGCCCAGCACCGCTGCTCCCGCATCGTGCGCGTCGAGTACCGCTGCCCCGAGTGCCACAAGATCTTCAGCTGTCCCGCCAACCTGGCCTCGCACCGCCGCTGGCACAAGCCGCGTCCCGGCCCCAGCGCCGAAGGCGCCGCCTCCGCCCCGCCGGGCAAGGAGAACAGCCCCGAGCGGCGGCCCCGCGGCCCCGCCGCGCCCCAGCCGCCGCCGGGAGCCCGGTCATCGGTGCCCCGGCCGCCCCCGGCTCCAGCCCCGGCCCAGCTCACGGCGGCGCTCCCGGTCCGGGCGGCGGCCCCGGCGGGGAGGCGTTCGCCTGCCCCTGCTGCCAGAAGCGGTTCCGGCGGCAGGCGTACCTCCGCAAGCACCTGGGCACCCACGGGGCAGCGCGGCCTGCCGCCTTCGGCCCGCCGGAGCGCGGGCCCCTCACCTTCGCCTGCCACCTCTGCGGCGCCCGCTTCCCCTCGGCGGACATCAGGGACAAGCACCGGCTGTGGCACGCCGTGCGGGAGGAGCTGCTGCTGCCGCCGCCGCCCGCCGGGGTCCCCGAGAGCGGCGCGGCGGGCGGCGAGCGGCAGGGCTTCCCCTGCAAGCACTGCCCCGCCACCTTCTTCAGCGCGCCCGGGCTGGCGCGGCACGCCAGCAAGTGCCACCCGCCGGAGAGCAGGCAGGTCCTGCTGCTCCAGGTGCCCGTCCGGCCGGGCTGCTAGGCCCGCGGCCGCCCCGCTGGGACTGCTCCGAGAGCCCGGGCTAGCCGAGCGAGCCCTGGCCACGCTGTAATTCCTATGGAAAGTCGCGGCTCTCACGGCTACGACGTCGGCGGAGCCGCCCGGTGACTCCCGGCCGGTGGGTAGCGAGGCGCCGGCACGGCGGCGCGTTCGGCCCACGGGCCGCGCTGCCCGCGGCGCCCAGGCCGAGCCCCGCCGTGCAGGGAGCGCCGCGCAGCTCCCCGGCCATCGGCACGGCCCCGGGCCCGCGGCAGCAGGCGAGAAGCCCCGGCAGCATCCGCCGGGAGGCGGGCAGCGCCGAGGCGTCGGGTGGCGGCCCACCGCCGGTACATCTTCCGTAGCGACGGAGAGAAGTACGGCTGTATATAGGGTATCTAAAGAGAGGAATTATTTTTCGTGAGAAAAGGAGCCTGATCTAGTGACCTTGTTTTAATAGCCTTAGCCCCCGAGCTTCAACATTCGTGGTGTACTCTGTACTGAGGTAGCTGAGAAGGTAAATGTTCATATTAAGTCAGTGTCAAGTCACATAATAGCTAGCAAAACGTATGGGAAATTAATCGTGCTGTCTGCCTAATTGAAATTCGAGGTGTTGATCTTCTGTAGCTAAGTGCGCATCTCCTGCTTACTCTGTGTCTCTGTCCTCTAGCAACAGTGTGGTAGGCAAAACACGCGTGTCTGGCAGCTGCCCGTTCCCAAAGCTGCTCCGCTCCGTTAGTGGCTCGCTGGCGCGGCGCGGGCAGCAGCCGCACGGGCGGCTCGGCCCCAGCAGGCCGGCGGGGCTCGCCTCTTCAGGCGGCCTCCGGCCTCCCTCCCCTGCGAGCCGCGCCTTTGGTGTGAGCTCCTCCGAGTCTTGTGAACAGCTGAAACTAGGACGTGAAGCAGTCTTTGGACATGTTGCTAAAGCGCAGGTGATGGGCTACCTTCCTTCTCCCTAACGACACCTACCTTTAGCAAAGCAACCCGCGGTGTGTGTTCCCTGGCTTTGACAGTGCTCTGGCCAAATGCTTTCAAATGCTGTTGAATTTACCAGCTACTGACACTTCAGCCAGTATTTGTTTACTTATTTTTTTCCATGAGTGCTTGTTTCTAAATGTGATAGCAGATGAGGCTAAAAATAAGGGCAAGAAAATTCAATAAAAGATTTAAAAGAAAGCTCATGCCTTTCTTGAATTCAGCAGGGCAAAGTGGGTCAGCTGGTGACTTCTAAAGAACCAAATTGATCCCAGTCGTAGTCTTTGTTCTAACACTTTCTCTGTCATGAGCATGTAAAATATTTCAATCTTTCGATTAGCATCTCTAAAGCAATTATTTCTGTAGTTTTATATTTTGCTACACACAACAAAAGATGTATGATGCCCAAAGGCTGCAAGCAAGCGATAAGTACTTTATGTTAAATGTGCTTCACTGACTTTTGTCATTTTAGTTCCAGAACCTGGACAAATGAATTAATACAATATAACCTAATGCAGCCAAAATTTGCTTTCCAACAAAGGAGGCTAAACTTGCAACTCACTAATATGCCAAAAATAAAGAATGTTAATTTAAGTTGTGCATTTTTCTGTCGTTTGTTGGCAACAGAGACTTAAGTAAAAATACCTGTTTATGCAATTAAATGAGTTTGCCCCTGGAGAAAGTCACTAGTTTTGTTGTTTTTTTTTTTTTGTTTTTTTTTTTAAATCATAGTTCCTCTTTCTCTCCTTGTGTAGTCAAAGATGACGGCTCCAGACCATGCAAATGTGGTGATTATTAACTGCTCCTACAATTAGCACTTGAACGACCAGCCTGCCACAGGGAACAGCCTATGCTTTGTATCACCTGCAGAGCTACATGCAATGTATTTACTAAATCCAGGGAAAAGTTTTCATTTGGGCGTTCTTGAGAACTTGTGTGTACTTTTTAATACAAAGGAAAACTAAGCTGTGTATTGCATTTAACTGCTCCATGTGCATGTAATACACAAATCTTCTATAAATTGAACTAAAAATCTAATCAGTGAATAACTAATATACAAAAGGTGGTAAGAATAATTTTATTGGATCATTAAATAGCATGTCTTCTCTTCAACCATTACAAATTTGTAGATACTACATGAATGACAATACATAATTTCTTTTTTTATTGTTGCCCATATATTTACACATGCAGTTAGTACCGATGCCATGCTACATTTTGTTAACAGCATTTTGTTGTTTACTAGACTCAAAATGTGAGCATTTAATTTTCTGTAGGAAAATACCTCTGGGTGGGTGGAACTCGTGTACTAATCTGCGCTCACAAGGTTGAAATTATTAAATTATTAGCATTTCAGGCCAGGCTCCCGGAGCATGTTCCCTTTTCTCTCCTAGTACTCATCATCACAGCAATGAACTGCTATCAGGAAAGTGTTTGTTTGGTTTTTTTTTAATGTAAGAAAAAAAGAATATACATCTAGATGAAACAGCATAATGATAACGGCTAAAACTCATGAAACTCAATGGCATTTACTATTGACACCACTTGGAAAAGCAAATATTATAAAAAATATTTGGAAGCCGAGCATAAATAGAATTTCAAGACAGTGATTTTTTTTTTTCTGGCATAGATTATCTGTAGAATTATGAAATGATACATCGCTTTATGATGAAAGGGTGATATGAGCAAATTATTTCATTTGGATTCTGTGATACTTGAAATGCCATTGAACTATTTTATTCTCAACATAAATAATCTGTACACATCTTGTGCATTAACATTGTGACATCTGACAAAGACTTTACAAATGCAACTTCAATTTAAAATTGTACATTCATTTTCAAATTGTACATACTTCTTTCTTTGTTACAGAGAAAATTGCAATGGGGCACAATAAATATAGTGTAATCCAACAGCAGTCTCCATTTCCATGTTGACTCAAGATCAACCAGAGTTAAACCCCAAAGTTAATCATCCATAATCATCCAAGTAGGTAAAAGGTGCAGGGTACAAACGGCACTGCAAAGAAAAAAACCCGGCAGACTGGAGTTTGATAAAAAAAACCCAAAGCTAAATTATTAAAGTAAAATTCCAGTGTCACTGTTTAAAATAAACATATAGAACAAGAGTATGCAGGGCATGGGTGCACACACATGAGAGACATTATCCTTGAATGAACAGTGTGAGCAGTAAGAAAACCCAAAACGCGGTGAGTCGCTGCGGGAAGGTGGCCAGTGCTCTTCACTAGAAAGCTGCAGGCATCTTGCCACTCAGGACTTGTTGGCTGAGCCAGAGGAGCGGCGCAGTTTCATGGACATGCGGCTCTTGCTAGTCCGAGGAGACATTGGAGAGGCTAAGTCTGTTCCATCCACCTGTGCTGTTGCTGCTGCTGGAGTTTCTCCCGGCTGAGTCTCTGGGCAGAAGCCTGCAGAGGACAGCAAGAACCAGACGTGTCAGTGCCGCCTTCCACACTCGCAGCATGGGATCTCTTAGCAAGGGGCAGACAGGAATTTCAGTGCTGCTGTCACTGCCACAGCATCTCCTAGGCCTTTATCAGCTGTGGGTGATGGTACTGCTCATGGAATTAACAACTGCCACAAATCCACCCCTACAGAAAAGATGATTCCAGAAACCACTGAGCTATGGGACTGCAGAACCCCCTCGCTCTGAGCAATTGAGGCAGCACTGAAGTGGGCAATGTTCTCCTGCTAACCAGGAAAACAAACAGCTCCAGTTCCCTTGCAGGGATGGGGAATCATTAGTCAAACCACAACCCAGAAGAATCCAGTCTTTAATGAGAACATGAAGGTTAACAGCTCATTGCACATGAAGGGAGCTCTAGGAATGCTGCTGAAGAGGTGGAGTGAATTGAGGGCCAACTGAGAGAGCAAAATATCTTCTCCCATACCAACTTTAGTTTGTGCTTCAAAAGCAAATTCCTATAGGGCCCACAAGGCAGAAGCTTGAACAGATTGTACTAACTGGATGCACTATATGTTAACGTTTCTTTGTAAAAGGAACAAGATGAATTTGAGACAATGATGTGTAATTCATTAGCCCAGTGCCAGAGCTATGCTCCAGTGGCCCCAGAGTCCTCACTGCAGAGTCCTCCTACAAACAGCCTGTCTCCAAATCTTCTTCCATAGATGTACAAAAGGAGAAAATATGAAATCAAAATTACATTCTCCTTCCCATGCTTTAGAAAATTAATACTATGAACTTCCATCCATAAAACTAAACTGCGTTTTCATTAGCCATTTACAGCCACTGACAGTGTGATTGAACTCAACTACCACAGTTGCCTCTGAAGGCTTCTAACCCATATAATTTAGAGATAGAAGCCTGGTCCTGCAGGTGTCAATGGGGAAACCCCTGCGGACTGCAGTAAGCCAGAAATCACTTGCTATTTCTTCCACATCATGCTATTACTGGTAATTCTTTAAAATAATAATGCAATAATCAGAACTGAAGATCTCTCTGCCTCAGTATACATTTCACATATAAAGGACGCAAAAATCATTCAAAACTGGTCATGATTTATTTTGAAAGATTCTGCTAAAATCAAATGAGGTCATAAGGTGAGAAATCTAGGAGCAAATTTAAAAGATTATCATAAACCTGTGGTATTTAGCAATCTGGCTGTTCTTGCCTGGTACCTCACCTGCCTGCTCCAGAGCAAGAGCATGGTACTTTCTATCTTCAAACTGACACGACCCATCAGAGTGACAGGGGAGAGAAAGGGCTGCTATTTGTTCCCCAGCTGGTGACAGTAATTTTGTTCATGAACTAGGTACTTCACTGCCAAACAATCTGGAAAAGCATGATAATGCCTGACTCACTGTGCCTTATAGAAAAAGGCAAGCAGGGAAACATGCATTCGCATTTTCTGAAATTCTATCTTGTTCTGATTTTACAAGAAATTAAAGCATTTCAAATGGTGGAAATTAGAGAATAGAAAATAACCGTTGTTGTTTTGCACAGCATACCATTCACAGCTAGCGTGAAAGACCTTCCGTTTCAAGCCTTTGCCCTTTACCTTGATGTGGCCAATGCTTTCTAGTGGAGGTTTTGGAAGGAGAAGAAATATCACAGCATTTCTTTCTTTGTTGAGAATGAAGAAGTGATGAGGAAGGAGGAGTGGAAAGAAGTGAGGAAGGGGGAGGAGAAAAGATAAAAGATAACAGGTGTGAGACATGAGACACGAACCGCAGAGATTGAAGGGTATTAACAGATGAGCACAGAAAACGGAATTTCGAATTTCATTATGCAATTGCTGCTCATGCTACAGGTTAAAGAGAGTGATGAGTTAGTTATGTGCAATGAAGCAACAGCTCTGAAATACGGCATCATACTTACCAACTAAGCATTACAAGAAAAAAAAGGAAGGGAGAGAGAAAGAAAAGAATTCTATAACATTATCCAGATCCAACAACCTTATTAATAGCAACTGAAATACATCCTGAACACTGTCTGAAATACTTGCTTAACATCGGTGAAAACAGGTAAATACTCATACACATACACACAACTGATAAGGAAAAACAAATGGCAACTCCATATATGGCTTCTGTTCTCCAGGTGTTTCACAGTACTGAATACACTAAAATTATAGCCAGTCTTAACATGAGACTCCTGAAATCACATAAAGAAGCAAAAGCAGCTAGTTTTAAGTTAGTTAGTCTGCATTGAAGGGTTAAACCCTAGTGTGAAATTTTATCATGAGTTGTTGGATAAAGGAAATCTCAGTCTGCCCCATTATTTCAATTAAAAATATTATTCCAGTAGTAGCTTAAAACTTTTTTTCTAATTTCTGTGGACAAAAGCACAGATTCACATATAACAACATTTTTTAAAAGAAACTTAGAGCTATTGAAGAACAGAAGTCATGTAAAGTGATTTTCACATCTGAACATACCACACCAGAAGAGTGAAGAACACCACCACTTAAAATAGATTTTCAGTCTGACAGAAATTAATTAGTAACTAAATTTCTTTGGATTTTAGATAAGCATATATATACATACATACGCTCATACACACATGTGGATATTAAATACGGTATATAAAAATTTGCAGGTTTTGCTTCCCCTTCAGAGTTTTAAAATTTTCAGTATAACATGCTATTATCTTTATCTCTCTCCACAATTGTCCTGGTCCTGGTCAGGATGGGGTAATTTTTGCAGTAGCCAGGAGGGGGGATGGCTAGGACCTGGAGGTTATTCTATACCATCTTGTGTCGTTTTCTGGGGAAAGGCTCACTTCTGGGTCAGTGTAGTGTGGTGGAGGGCGTGCTGGGGTATTATTGTGAGGGGATTCGCCTCCTACATCAAACTGTTTCTTGTATTTTATCTACCTCTTTCTTGTACCCTCTGTCATTAGCACTGTTGTTACTGTCTGTTTTCCTATCTCATTTCTGTTTCCAGTAAAAATTGTTCTTATCTCTTGAGCTTTACCTTTTATGCCTCCAATTCTCTCCAGCCTGCTGAGAAGGGGAGTGATGGAGCAGCACATGGTTACAGTGGGAACATGGAATTGGAGACTACCATTCCTAAAACACAACAACCTTCTTTGGTGCCCAATGTGAGGCACCAAGGGCTGAGACAACAACAGTTCTGCCCAGAGTGAGTTGAAAACAAATTTGATCTGATTTGGTTTGTTGCATTAGGTCCAGACCTACTGGTCACAATGTTGCTTGGTCTGCTTGTGTGGGTATATTAATCCTGCCTCAAGAAAAGGCAAACCCATACATGGGATTGTTTTTGCTCAAGGACATGGGTGCACTTGGGACAGGAAAACACAATGTGTACCTCCAGGGAATTTGATTTTTGGGTTAGAACAGTCTGTAATGATGAATTGTATAAAAGTGGTTGCTGAATGGCACTGTCACTGCATGCCAGAACTACTGTGGACAATGAGTATGAACTGCTCCAGTTGTGAGCCCCTGG